GTTTCACGATACGGATCTAATATCCTGCTATCCATCATGACCATTTCTGGTCAGGTCATGTCTTTGATCATTGGCCAAATTCTTCCAAATGACCTCCCTCGCCGGCAAAGGGAGGGAGGGTTGATGCAACCCCCCCCCCCCCCCCCTAAGGTTTTTCGCGAATAACTCGCGTAAAAAGCGGCCGATCGCGACGAAACTTTCAGTACCCGCGATTTGATAAATTTTACACCTACCCTGAAAATTTCATGACCCTGACCCAAATGACCTTTGACCATCTGAATCACCTGAAGGTCAGGTCAGGTCATTGACCTTTGGTGACCTCGGTTCACTTTTTCGAGTTTTACATGTTTCCACGCTAGTTTTTGGAGCTGAATTCGAATTTAGCAACAATTTGAACATTTACGAAGTAGTTTTGGTGCCTTCGTAACATGTTACGAAGCTGTCAGAGGCGGATGACAGGTATTACGAATACCCGTCGTGACCCCTACCGGTTGACCTGACCTGACCTGAACCGACCTGGTCTAAATGCTTTAAGACATCATCTCTGATAAAACTAACACGATATTCGTGATCAGCACCCCGGAAAACCCCATAGCAGCCACACTTTACGACTTTCTAACAGGTCCCCATTTTCCCGATTATCGGGTCATTGACCTGACCTGGAAGGTCACCCGATGACCTAGGACCTTAAAATTGGGTATCATCGGCTTCCTCTCGTGACGGGCAACACGCTCGTTTTTTCCGCGAAGCTCTAGCTCAATCAGGGGCCAAGCGCGGGTGGGGTCGTGCCACCCCCCCCCCCCCTGTGCCGTCGAAGGATGCAAAATAGCCTGTGCCGGCGAGGGTTAAAGATCAACTTTTGATTCATTCGAAGCGTTTTGATAAGAGGAACACGAGGCTGGTAAAATTAATTTCATGCAAGTTTAGCTTAAAACTTTTAGTGTTTGTGGAAAAGCAATTGGTTTTCTCATAATACCGATGGTGGCAGTTGCTGTTATTTAAGTGCTAAGCCGTTGACCTTAATTAAATCTTACAATATTATTCAGACATAGCGGTAAACGAGCTGCTTGTTGTGTTAGGTTAGGCTCTTTCGGTCGATTTCAGAGTGGGAAGGATGACAACAATTAGGGGGAGACAGGGGGCCTGGGCGGGAGTCCTGAGCCTCATGCTCCGCTGGGGCCGAGCCTATCACGTGGGTTGGATTGCCCTGACACATGGATAGCCCTGGGCGGTGTTTCACAGTCCCGCGCTGCAGCACGCTGCGCTGCGCTGCCATGCATTGTAGCGGCGGTTGATATGAATTCGGCTCCACGCTAGTGTTACGAGCTTCCGAGTCTGTTGATGTTTCCATGGAAATTGGAAACCCAATGCACCGGTGCGCACAACGCACCCTGTCCAAGCAAAATTTTACCATCGATGACCTCTGGTGACATGACCTTTTGCTCTGAACCGATCTAAAATTGGCTGAAGTATTATTATTCTTTTTGCTACTTTCGACGCTACTTCGAATACCACTTAAATGCCCAAATTAGAAGAGATAGACATTTTGTTTTTCTCACAGACAATGACAATACAAAAACAATGCAATAAGACCAGACGTTTCGACAACAAAGTGCCTTCGTCAGTGGAAAACAAGATATAGGCTTTACATCGATAAAAAATATAGATTTTTTTTATATTTTTTATCTTCTATATTTTTTTATCGATGTAAAGCCTATATCTTGTTTTCCGTTGACGAAGGCACTTTGTTGTCGAAACGTCTGGACTTATTACATTGTTTTTGTATTGTTATAGTCTGTGAGAAAAACTAAATGCCCAAAGCTGAGTTATAAGAATGATGCTCAATCCCCATTTCCCCTCCAACAGGGCGCGAGAGTCTAGGCATTCCTGTGGGGCACAGGCTAACAATGACTATCTTATAAGCATTGTGGCCATGAACATCTACTGCCATTCTTTAACACCGATTTCGCTGCGCTGAGCGGTGGCCGTCTCGTTTGTTGGATTCTACAGCTGGCTGGCGGAAAGCGTTACCGGCCGCCCGTCCACCGCCCGCGGGCCGGACCGAGCGGTCCCGCTGACCCTACCTGACCTGAGCCCGGCGCGATATGGGACGGGCAGACGGGGGTTCGGCTCAGCGAAGGCAGCGCCCACTGGTGCTGGGGACTTTTTAATAGACCTACTGTACGTAGATTGTAGACTAGACGCACCGACCGTCCGGTGCCGACCAGGGTTGGCAGGGGTTGCAAAAACTGGTTTTTGCCAGTGGTTTTAACCGGTTTAAACCGGCTGGCAGAAACCCCGGTGGCAAAAAACTGGCAAAAACTGGCAAAAAATCAGATGGCCAAACCTACAACTTTTCTAGTTAGGAATGGATTTGAAATGTACAGAAATGCTTTTAATGCATTTCTGGTAGTTATATAGATGCACTTAACATTCTGAAGTTGCCTCATTACTTATCCCTGCTTAAAATGTCTATGCAATTATGCATGTCGGTAGACATCCACAACGGAATGTATTTCCATGTAAGGGGAGAGTGGGACAAGGCGGCCTCGGTAAGTAGGGTGTCATGCGGTGCCGTGCGCATATCAATGGCAGATGCCTCTTCGCACTTCTGATTGTGCAGGACTCACCCAGTCACCCTTGCATTGGCTCATTTATTACCCCCAAAAGACATCTTACTAGCTCCTTATGGATAGCCCATGAAAATGTTTCTGAGTTAGGTATGAAACATTTCAGTGGTCAATGTCACTTCTGTTTGAAAGCATAAAGCTTTCACCAAATTCTCCTTAAAATGTTTCCTGTTCAAAATCATGTCTAGGCATAGCATTGTGATATTCTGAGTTTTTGCCAGTTTTTGCCACTTTTTGCCGGTTAAAACCGGTTTAAACCGGCAAATGGCATAAACTAGTTTTTGCCGGCAAAAATGCCAACCCTGGTGCCGACATAGACCACGGACCGAGCGATACTAAATCACCGGCTGTCCGGCGCAGACATAGGTCACGGACCGAGCGATACTAAACCACCGGCCGTCCGGGCCACGGACCGAGCGATACTAAACCACCGGCCGTCCGGGCCACACCATGGACCGAGCGATACGAAACCACCGCCCGTCCAGTGCAGGCATAGGTCACGGACCGAGCGATACTAAACCACCGGCCGTCCAGCGCAGACATAGACCACGGGCCGGCCGGGACTGAGCCGCCGGCCGCTGCCCACCGCGCCGGCCCGAAAAAAGCCGACTGGTCACACGGGTACGGAAACGCTCGTGAGCCGGCGGCGGCAGTGGCTTCCGAGGACGGCCGGTAGCCGCGGCGCTGGCCACGGCGCGGCTGCGGGCGCCCGGTCCGCTGCCCAGCCGCCCGGCCCCGGTGGCGCCCGGTGTCCGGTCAGCCTGCCGGGATCAGCCGGGAGCCGGTGGCTGTGCACCGTGCACCCTGCACTGTGCAAGTGGACAGCCTGACCCGGCGGTACGGCTTCACCGTGCAACGAGCGGGGCGGGGCTGAGTGCCGGTGTCCGGAGACTCCTGGCCGGGCGGCGGGCCGGGGTGCCTTTACTCGGCTAGGCCACGGCGCCTCACAGGACGGGCTACGGCGCCGCACGGGGCGGGCCGCGGCGCCTCAGTGGGCGGGCCGCGGCCGTGGCCGAGTCTGTGAGAGAGAGTAGCGCGCGGGCTGACCCTGATCGCCGGCACCGTTAGCTGCCGCCGAGCCGCGCTGGACGCTGGACGCCGCCACCGAGCAGTGCTGACGCTGCCACTGACTGCAGTGCTGCCGCCGCCACCGCGGTCGGCTGAAGCCCGGCCGCTGGTCAGGCCGCTGCCGCTCTGCTACATGTATTCCCCGAATTTAGATCAGCAAATGGCATCCAGAACAGAACGCGGAAGATCGGAGCGGCCGCGTTCTGTAGCCTTTTACTAGGCTATCGATCATCGCTAATGCGACTGTCAACAATGTTCTGTTGATAGTAGGTATGACACTTCCTTTAGTGTCTGCTGATTTTAGATTGGGTATCTTGTCATGTGTCACTCGCAGTCCTTTTCCGCCGGGCCGAGGTGCTGCAGAGCCGACTGGGTATTGTTTGTTGTGCCGGTGCCGTCCACGTCAGCATCGGTTCGCCGGTCGGTCAGCAGAGGTGGTCCGTCAGCGCCACCCTCTAGCCAGTCTATCAGCAGAGGTGGTCCGTCAGCGCGGTCCGCCAGCGGTGGCCTGTCAGCGCGGTCCGCCGCCCGGCCGGTCAGCAGAGGTGGCCTGCGCCCGCTCCGGACCCGTGTCGCGCGGTGTAGATTCGACACCCATTGTCTCCCGGTATGGTCCGGCGCGCCTTCCCCGCCCCGCCGGACGGCTCAGCGCCGCGGAAGGAAAACGGTTGGAACCGGCCGCCGCGGGGCCACCGCCGCCCGACCGGCGAGCCGAGCGGGCCGCCGCCGGTGTTTATATTGATGTCTCTCGAGCGCGCACGGTAATGGGACAGTGATTAGACGGCGCCTTCCACCGGCGCGGGCCGATGAGCTCCGTCAGGAACATTAGACTGAAACACCTCGCCACATCACATCGGTGTAAGAGTGAGAATGTTTGCCACAACAGGTATTGGTAGTATTGCCTGGGGACACCACCTGCTCGGGTTGCGGGGATACCGCTTTGGTGACCGGTCGCCCACTGGTCCGGTGACCGGTCACATATTGGTGTTGTGCCCGGTCTTACACCGGCCTGGGGACCGGTCACACGCTGGTTTGGTCCGTTATGCTGTAATCTTTACGGTGTTGGCCTATGGTATCGATTGTTAGACCGTGCTGTGCTGCGCCGGCCTGTGATACCCTTTGCTTATCTTTGGTGGCCTGTTGTGTTGTGCGCTGACGTTTGGTGACCTCCAGTTTCTGGTGACCTGTGCCCACCTTTAGTGACCTGCCATGACCTATACCTCCCTGGGCCGACCTGCGTCGGTCGGTACTGCTGTACGCTGACCTCTGCTGACGTTTGTTGACCTACTGTGACCGGTGTTGGCGCGGCAGGTTCTCGGTACAGTCGGCCTACCGGCGGCTGCTCGCCGAGGTGGGAGACCTGGCCGGACAGCACGAGGTGGTGGCCGAACAGCTGGCAGACAGCGTAGCCGCCGACATCAGCGCCGAGGTCAAGACACTCAAGGAGGAGCGCAAACGGGTCAGTCAGTCGGTGGGGGACAGAGGGGGGGTCGCCAGCGGCAGAGCACTGTCACCGCCCGCCGCACACCGAGGGCAGACAGGCACCGAGGCTCCGACAGGAGACTTTAGTACACAGACACGGACAGTCGGTGTCCCCGACAGGAGACTTTAGTACACAGACACGGACAGTCGGTGTCCCCGACAGACAGTCACCGAGGCTGCGACAGGAGACTTTAGTACACAGACACGGACAGTCGGTGTCCCCGACAGACAGTCACCGAGGCTGCGACAGGAGACTTTAGTACACAGACACGGACAGTCGGTGTCCCCGACAGACAGTCACCGAGGCTGCGACAGGAGACATTAGTACACAGACACGGACAGTCGGTGTTCCCGACAGACAGTCACCGAGGCTGCGACAGGAGACATTAGTACACAGACACGGACAGTCGGTGTCCCTGGCAGACAGCAGACATGTCCGTCCCCTTCCCTGGCTGACTCGTTCTGTCGCCGGTCTGCCTGTGATGTGTGCTCTGTCGGCGCTGCCGCCGCCGGCTGCTGGCAGACAGACGATGTGGAGCGGCCCGGCGGCCGGCCGGGTGACCGCAGTCTCGGCGGCGGCGACCGGAGGTCGACGGTGCTGCAACGGGTCGAGCCCTCCGACCCGGCTGGCACACCGCACCGCGGCCGGCGCCCCTCTGCTCCGTCCGTCACTCTCCCGCCCCGCTCTCTAACCAGCCAGCGAGCGGCGACAGACAGACAGACAGACAGACAGACAGACAGACAGACAGACAGACAGACAGACAGACAGACAGACAGACAGACAGACAGACAGACAGACAGACAGACAGACAGACAGACAGACAGACAGACAGACAGACAGACAGACAGACAGGACAGGACAGGACAGGACAGGACAGGACAGGACAGGACAGGACAGGACAGGACAGGACAGGACAGGACAGGACAGGACAGGACAGGACAGGACAGGACAGGACAGGACAGGACAGGACAGGACAGGACAGGACAGGACAGGACAGGACAGGACAGGACAGGACAGGACAGGACAGGACAGGACAGGACAGGACAGGACGGACGGACGGACGGACGGGCAGTCAGACTGGCAGACTAGCAGACTGGCAGACGCAGACACTAGACAGGCAGGCAGACGCAGGCAGGCAGACTGGCAGACTGGCAGACGCAGACACTAGACAGGCAGGCAGACGCAGGCAGGCAGACAGACACAGGGCGACACAGGCCGACACAGGCAGACAGACAGACAGACAGACAGACGGCTCTGATCTGGTCTGCTGTGCCGTATCCTGGTTTATCATAACATTTAGTGTTTGTACCTGTCCCACCTTGCAGTATTTCTTATCATTTTCTTGTAATTGGTTGTTTAGCGCGTTTTTCGCTACATTTGGCACTGACTGGCACTGGCGGATTTTGTACCGATCTCCTCGCATGTCCACGGTCGAATGTCATCACCGTGTGTCCCCGCATTGCCCTGCGCCCTGACTGGCCGAGTGTTCAGCCAGCCTGTGTTGACCTGTGACCCTGTCCGCCCGGCGAGATGTCTCGCTCTGTCCAGTGGTGGTCCCTCTCAGCCCCGTGTTGTCCTGTGGTGCGGTGTCTAACTGTGTTCTGTACTGTGAGAGTGTCTCCTGTGCTGTCCTGTGGTGCGGTGTCTAACTGTGTTCTGTACCGTGCTGTCCTGTGGTGCGGTGTCTAACTGTGTTCTGTACTGTGAGAGTGTCTCCCGTGCTGTCCTGTGGTGCGGTGTCTAACTGTGTTCTGTACCGTGCTGTCCTGTGGTGCGGTGTCTAACTGTGTTCTGTACTGTGCTGTCCTGTGGTGCGGTGTCTAACTGTGTTCTGTACTGTGCTGTCCTGTGGTGCGGTGTCTAACTGTGTTCTGTACTGTGAGAGTGTCTCCCGTGCTGTCCTGTGGTGCGGTGTCTAACTGTGTTCTGTACTGTGAGAGTGTCTCCTGTGCTGTCCTGTGGTGCGGTGTCTAACTGTGTTCTGTACTGTGAGAGTGTCTCCCGTGCTGTCCTGTGGTGCGGTGTCTAACTGTGTTCTGTACCGTGCTGTCCTGTGGTGCGGTGTCTAACTGTGTTCTGTACTGTGAGAGTGTCTCCTGTGCTGTCCTGTGGTGCGGTGTCTAACTGTGTTCTGTACTGTGAGAGTGTCTCCTGTGCTGTCCTGTGGTGCGGTGTCTAACTGTGTTCTGTACTGTGAGAGTGTCTCCTGTGCTGTCCTGTGGTGCGGTGTCTAACTGTGTTCTGTACTGTGCTGTCCTGTGGTGCGGTGTCTAACTGTATGTTCTGTACTGTGAGAGTGTCTCCCGTGCTGTCCTGTGGTGCGGTGTCTAACTGTATGTTCTGTACTGTGAGAGTGTCTCCCGTGCTGTCCTGTGGTGCGGTGTCTAACTGTGTTCTGTACTGTGAGAGTGTCTCCCGTGCTGTCCTGTGGTGCGGTGTCTAACTGTGTTCTGTACCGTGCTGTCCTGTGGTGCGGTGTCTAACTGTGTTCTGTACTGTGAGAGTGTCTCCCGTGCTGTCCTGTGGTGCGGTGTCTAACTGTATGTTCTGTACTGTGAGAGTGTCTCCCGTGCTGTCCTGTGACGCGGGTGTCTAACTGTGTTCTGTACTGTGCTGTGCCGTGACGCGGTATCTAACTGTATGTTCTGTACTGTGAGAGTGTCTCCCGTGCTGTCCTGTGGTGCGGTATCTAACTGTATGTTCTGTACTGTGAGAGTGTCTCCCGTGCTGTCCTGTGGTGCGGTGTCTAACTGTGTTCTGTACTGTGCTGTCCTGTGGTGCGGTGTCTAACTGTGTTCTGTACTGTGCTGTCCTGTGGTGCGGTGTCTAACTGTGTTCTGTACTGTGAGAGTGTCTCCCGTGCTGTCCTGTGGTGCGGTGTCTAACTGTGTTCTGTACTGTGAGAGTGTCTCCCGTGCTGTCCTGTGGTGCGGTGTCTAACTGTGTTCTGTACCGTGCTGTCCTGTGGTGCGGTGTCTAACTGTGTTCTGTACTGTGAGAGTGTCTCCCGTGCTGTCCTGTGGTGCGGTGTCTAACTGTGTTCTGTACTGTGAGAGTGTCTCCCGTGCTGTCCTGTGGTGCGGTGTCTAACTGTGTTCTGTACCGTGCTGTCCTGAGACGCGGTATCTAACTGTATGTTCTGTACTGTGAGAGTGTCTCCCGTGCTGTCCTGTGGTGCGGTGTCTAACTGTGTTCTGTACCGTGCTGTCCTGTGGTGCGGTGTCTAACTGTGTTCTGTACTGTGAGAGTGTCTCCCGTGCTGTCCTGTGGTGCGGTGTCTAACTGTGTTCTGTACTGTGAGAGTGTCTCCCGTGCTGTCCTGTGGTGCGGTGTCTAACTGTGTTCTGTACTGTGCTGTCCTGAGACGCGGTATCTAACTGTATGTTCTGTACTGTGAGAGTGTCTCCCGTGCTGTCCTGTGGTGCGGTGTCTAACTGTGTTCTGTACCGTGCTGTCCTGTGGTGCGGTGTCTAACTGTGTTCTGTACTGTGAGAGTGTCTCCCGTGCTGTCCTGTGGTGCGGTGTCTAACTGTGTTCTGTACTGTGAGAGTGTCTCCCGTGCTGTCCTGTGGTGCGGTGTCTAACTGTGTTCTGTACTGTGCTGTCCTGAGACGCGGTATCTAACTGTATGTTCTGTACTGTGAGAGTGTCTCCCGTGCTGTCCTGTGGTGCGGTGTCTAACTGTGTTCTGTACCGTGCTGTCCTGTGGTGCGGTGTCTAACTGTGTTCTGTACTGTGAGAGTGTCTCCCGTGCTGTCCTGTGGTGCGGTGTCTAACTGTGTTCTGTACTGTGAGAGTGTCTCCCGTGCTGTCCTGTGGTGCGGTGTCTAACTGTGTTCTGTACCGTGCTGTCCTGTGGTGCGGTGTCTAACTGTGTTCTGTACTGTGAGAGTGTCTCCCGTGCTGTCCTGTGGTGCGGTGTCTAACTGTGTTCTGTACTGTGAGAGTGTCTCCCGTGCTGTCCTGTGGTGCGGTGTCTAACTGTGTTCTGTACCGTGCTGTCCTGTGGTGCGGTGTCTAACTGTGTTCTGTACTGTGAGAGTGTCTCCCGTGCTGTCCTGTGGTGCGGTGTCTAACTGTGTTCTGTACTGTGAGAGTGTCTCCCGTGCTGTCCTGTGGTGCGGTGTCTAACTGTGTTCTGTACCGTGCTGTCCTGTGGTGCGGTGTCTAACTGTGTTCTGTACTGTGAGAGTGTCTCCCGTGCTGTCCTGTGGTGCGGTGTCTAACTGTGTTCTGTACTGTGAGAGTGTCTCCCGTGCTGTCCTGTGGTGCGGTGTCTAACTGTGTTCTGTACTGTGAGAGTGTCTCCCGTGCTGTCCTGTGGTGCGGTATCTAACTGTGTTCTGTACTGTGCTGTCCTGTGGTGCGGTGTCTAACTGTGTTCTGTACTGTGAGAGTGTCTCCCGTGCTGTCCTGTGGTGCGGTGTCTAACTGTGTTCTGTACTGTGAGAGTGTCTCCCGTGCTGTCCTGTGGTGCGGTATCTAACTGTGTTCTGTACTGTGCTGTCCTGTGGTGCGGTGTCTAACTGTGTTCTGTACTGTGAGAGTGTCTCCCGTGCTGTCCTGTGGTGCGGTGTCTAACTGTGTTCTGTACTGTGAGAGTGTCTCCCGTGCTGTCCTGTGGTGCGGTATCTAACTGTGTTCTGTACCGTGCTGTCCTGTGGTGCGGTGTCTAACTGTGTTCTGTACTGTGAGAGTGTCTCCCGTGCTGTCCTGTGGTGCGGTGTCTAACTGTGTTCTGTACTGTGAGAGTGTCTCCCGTGCTGTCCTGTGGTGCGGTGTCTAACTGTGTTCTGTACCGTGCTGTCCTGTGGTGCGGTGTCTAACTGTGTTCTGTACTGTGAGAGTGTCTCCCGTGCTGTCCTGTGGTGCGGTGTCTAACTGTGTTCTGTACTGTGAGAGTGTCTCCCGTGCTGTCCTGTGGTGCGGTGTCTAACTGTGTTCTGTACCGTGCTGTCCTGTGGTGCGGTGTCTAA